CGCCCCAGATCAGATCCACCTACTGCCGCTTCGATATGTTTCCGATCTGCCGCCCAACTTCCATCTTCTAACAACTGTTCGAGGAAGGTAAGACTCTTTGTTCAGATTTTGGGTATTTTAGGGGTATTTAAAAATATATTTTTTGTTTTCCTATATTTTAGGCTATTTAAAAAAATACAAGTGTGGGATCGACATGTGTCTTTTGTTTATAACTAGATCTGAGAAGTATATATCTACAACTGCAATAGACTTACTATATTTATATAGCTTAAATTCTAAATAGAATCTATAGATATGGTAAAAGTTAGAGGAGGAACATCTCGACAATGATTAAAAGTTACTGGTATAACATGATGTTCAAAGGAATCATGCAAAATCAACTTAGAAAGTGAAAAAGATATATAGATGCAGTAGTTTATATATTTCTTGTTTGTTAATTTTTACAATAATATTTACAAATTAGATTCACTAAGCTAACTGTACTTGTATATTTCAGGAAAAGAAAAGGGTCTCAAGATAGTTGAGGAAGAACGTGTTAGTGAGGTAATTATTGGTATATACATGTATTTACATTCTACTTATGATATTTGAGTTGTAATAATTGTATATACATGTATTGACTTTCGTATTTTGTTAATTCTTATATTGGTATATACATGTATTGACATAATTGAGTTTCATGGTGATATATACGTGTATTGAATTCTAATTTTGATTTTTCTTTAATTGGTATATACATTTATTGACTTTTTAATTTTGATAAATTTTCTAATGTTTTAATGGATGATACAAAGTCTAATGAAGAGAATGAAAGAGTGAATAATGAATCAGAGAAAAATAACTCATCGTCAAAAGAAGTTTAAGAAATTGAATCTGATGACGATACACGCCCAAAGGCTACAAATTTAAGAGGCATCACCTATTTTCCTAATCGTTTTGATTTATGGGTTGTTAGTCTTCGATTTTTTAATTTACTTTTGTTGTAGATGTTTATTAAATGATAAAGAAATAGGAAAACAAGAATACAAATAACTTGTGATAGCATATACTCCTTAGTGGTTAGGTATATATACCAATTGATGCATATATGTATATATACATTAAGAAGATACAGTAGAACAATTGCAAAACGATGAGATGAAAGATGAATCGTTGTACACAAATCATTTAAATTAACCGAAATACAAAACAAAGTAATTAAAATAATTAACTTGAAATCCGTTGAATGTAGGAAAATCATTTTGAATTTAAAATAAAGTTTGTTATGTGATTGAATATAAGAAAAAGCAAAAAGACATAGAAAAGGATATTGTTGGAAAACTACGTTCTTTTGTAAAACTCCTAAAATACTCTTTAGCCATTTGTGCAAAATTTAAAACTAATAGACATTTTCTAAAACGAGTGACAAAATTTAGCCATCCACTCAAATTTCCCGTTTATTTTTCATAACTAATTAGATAATTAATTAGCCCATTAGGTTTTTTGACCCAAAGTCCATATAAAGAGACTGGCAAAATCCCAAGGTATGCAAATGCTAATGCTCTCTCCCTCTCCTCCCTAGTAGCTAGAATCCATATAAATGACTTAAATTTAACCAACCCATCAACTTAAACTTTTAGGTCAAGTGAAGAAATATTCTTCCTCTTGAGGCGCCCACACACTGGTTCGTTGTAGATCGATAATAGTTGATAAGATCTCGTGGAGTCATCATCTACGCTAAAGGCAAGGGATCCAATCCTTTTTATTTTTTGAAAATTTTTTTATTTAAAAGTTGCCTTCAAAATTCGTACTTTCTCTGCGCCCGGCAAGCAACCAGATCCATTCTGCCTTCCAACTATTGGTATCAGAGTATGCCCAAAAATACATGTTCAAGCTGGTTTTCAAAGTACACATTGAATACGACACATATAACATTTAGACAATGAAAGAGGTACGTACCTATCGTATATTATAAATCTTATTTAGGTCTTACACTTTTATAATGGCATCCTCAACATGCCATGCAATAATTAAACAGCTCCAATTCCTCTCACCAAAGTAAAATTTTGAGCAGAATCATCTTTGACTTCTTCAATTAGCTCATGCCAACGAAAGTAGAATGAGTTGCAAATTTGTTAACTTAAGAGGTTCCATCTAGATTATTTAAAATACGCATGCATAACCCTATTATAGACTTTATTAAGGAGAAAAAAAAAACAATTAAGAACACACTCTCTATGCTAAGTTGCTATAATTGGGTTGGGAAAAACAAAATCTAAATAACTGCCTCAACAAATGAGCAGCTGATATATAGGTAACTAACTTTAAGAAAAACTCAAATTTAAGCATTAAAACAAAGACTTGAATGACAAAGTCAAAAGTGAGGCACATGATAAGAGAAACCTTGTGTCCTCCTCCTCTGTCTATATACCATTTTTAGGACATAAAAGTATTAATGAATGCCATTACAGCTCCGTTTCTCTCTTTTGTTTCTAAAATCTGCTTTTTCGTTTTCCCATTCCTGGGAATTGGAATTGAAACTTAACCCCAAAAGCATGAGGCTATGAAGGGTGGTTTCCAGGGCTGATGATTTCTCTTCGTCTCATCGACCCGACCCAGCCCGACCCTGCTTCGTCGTCTCTGTAGATTTGGATTCATTTTTTCTTTCAGAAAAAATATGAAGCTCAGTATTGTTGTTTTGTGGATCGTAGAGATCATCTCCATCCATGCAATTGGAGTTGTTTCCAAAACCAATGCCCCCGATGGTTCGTTTTTCATATGCTAGTTTTTCTTTCATTTTGCCTTCAACTATTTTGATCTCGTAATGCAATTTGATGAGATGGGTTATTCTGTTGTTGTTTGGTGTTTTAAAATTTAATTACTTGATGTATTATATGCTAATTAAAACTAGGAAATTATATATGATACGATTATAAATACATGATGAACATCTGCAGCTTCCTGCTGTTTTAACCTAGGGCGGATACGTGTTTTTTCAACTTAGCTCCTATTTTATTTAATCCAGTGTCATGTTTTAACATTTTTCAATTCAATTATGCCATCACAGGATGAATCATAAATTCAATCTCCAAAAATTTAGAAGGTTATTAGTTTTTAATTCCTCCTAAAATTTCATTTTAAGAAAAGATGATAGAAAATTTTCATTTTTCTTATCTAAACTTTTGCCAATACACTAGCTCATCTCATCTGAGTGAGTTTACCAAGAGTATAATTGAAAAATCTTAAAACTAAGAAATTAAATTGAAACTTTTAAAACTATAAACGTTAAATTGAAAGAAATATTCAAAACGTAATGTATTATGAGGATCATTAATTCCTACCAAAGGCGGAAATCATAATAAAAAGAGGAAATAATAGTGTAGGGTTGAATATCGGATAGCATGACTAAACTACCAATGAATTTAAAAGCTTAAGTGATATAGTTCGGATATCTCAGCAATATTTTACCATTTTTAAAAACTTTTTGTTGTTATCTAATTTGCAGTTTCTGCACTGAATGTGATGTACACTAGTCTAAATTCACCTTCACAACTATCGGGTTGGAAATCGAGTGGGGGTGACCCATGTGGCGATTCTTGGGAAGGGATCAAATGCTCAGGATCATCCGTCACTGAAATGTACCTTTTCTTTTTCTTCTTTATTATTATTTTTTATATTTTGTTTCTCCCATATTTTTGGAAGTTGAAGGTTTTGTCGTGTTTCTGATCCTAACAGAAGTTTGTCGGACTATGGACTGAGTGGATCAATGGGTTACCAGCTCTCGAATTTGGCATCCGTCACCAGCTTGTGAGACCTACATAAAATACTTCGCTTACAAATTGACTGTTCATTATTTAAAAAGAAAAAATCTCTATTTTTGTATTGCTCTCGATCCATCATATCAGTTACGTTGAAGGTAATGCATGCCCTTCTTTCTTTTACCTGTGATAGTACAGTGATTTGAGCAAGAACAATCTCAACGGCGAAATCCCGTATCAGCTTCCTCCTAATTGTGTTAACATGTAAGCCGTTCAAACGATGTGCTTTTTTTCTTTTTTTTTTTTGAATTCGTCTCCTCTAAATTCTTGTATGTATGTGTTTGTGCATGTATATAATAATTCATCGATATCCTTTTGCAGCGATCTCTCTGAAAACAGCTTCACTGGTAGTGTGCCTTATTCAATTTCTCAGATGTCTGATCTTGAAACTTTGTAAGTAATAGATAAAAAGTACTCTATATGTTCTCTCTTATTTGTTTCACATATCATATGATCTATAAGTTATTAATTGGGTATTTAATTTGTTTGTTGTCTGCAGAAATCTTGGACATAACAAGCTCAATAACCAATTGAGTGACATGTTTAGCAAGCTTTCTAAGCTCAAAAGGATGTAAGCCTCATCTTCTAATAATCCTTTACTATCCCCATATGCAATATAGTGTGAATATGGTTGTGTGATAGATTAATTTAAAATTTAGTGATTTAGGCTTGCTTGGTAATTAATGCAGTCTATATTGTATTTCTTGTTTTGAAATTTATTAAACCTTAGAAATTCAGAAGACAACAGTTTTATATATCATTTAGGTTTTTCAGGTTTTGAATTCTGAATTGAAACTTAAATGCAGAGTTACATCAAGAAAGATAAAAACTTCGTATATGATGTTATAACTCCTTTCATTTTTGTTAAAACTAAAAACTAAAATATATAATATATTATAAAAGATATAATATTGTAAAATAATAAGTCTACAAAATTTATAACATATATGTTAATAAATCAATTCATATCATTTTAGATTTAATTAAATATTTAGTTGATAACTACCATATAAATATATTGTTAGACACCTTAATAATTATTTAAATTGAAATTCAATTTCCAAATTTGCTACCAAAGAAAACATGGAAAATAATTTTGTTTATATTCAAATTTCTGTTTTTAGATTACCAACCGAACACACCCTAAATCGCATGAGACTAAATATATTTTTAAATTAGAGGATTGAATTGCAAACTAAAACTCGATATTTTGTACTTATGAGATTTTAACTTCATGGTTACAGACTAATTGTTATCAATTTTGAACTATAAAGAACTCAATCAAAGTTGCGTGAAAAATCTTAAACTACAAAGACTAAATATTAAATATTGTATTGGAAAAATGGCCTCTATTTTGCATTATATTAGACTAACCAATGAGAGTGTAAGATATTTATTTTACAGGGATCTGTCATACAACTCACTCTCAGGAAACTTGCCTCTAAGTTTTAAGAAGCTTTCAAGCCTCAGCACACTGTGAGAAGCAAATTAATTAAATATTGTATTGGAAAAATGCCCTCTTATTGGTAAAGCTAATTATTTTGGTGAGTAATTTAGTATTACTAATTATCAGTTTAATTCATACATTTACAGGCACATACAGGAAAATAAATTTACAGGTTCAATCAATGTTCTTGCAGACCTTCCACTTGATGATTTGTAAGTAGCCCACAATTACCATATATAAAATGCATGTGTTGAAGCCTTCAAATAATTTGTTGATATTTTGGTTGCAGAGATGTTTCAAACAACAAATTCACTGGCTGGGTTCCTGATAGCCTTGAGGACATAAATAGTTTGCAGTAAGTACAGCATTACGTTACTTTCCAGGGTGGAACTATAAATTTTCTTAGAGCAAAAATCTTACGTTCTAACATTATATATGTCTATATATTTCAATTTTGAAAATTTTGAAAGGTAAATTAGGGGGAGAATTTTAAAATTTTAAGACCCGTCTGATTGCCCATTTTTCTTTTGGTGTTCTATTTTCGAAAACTAAAGCTTATAAGTACTGTTTTTGCTTCTATATTTCCTTGCTTTGTTATGTAAACACGTCTTCAAGACCTAAGCCAACTTTTGAAAACTAGAAAATAAAGTAGCTTCTTAAAACCTGCATTTATTTTTAAAATTTTGCAAAATATTCAAGTTTGTCTTCCAGAAATGTGAGAGTGAGTTTGACATGTCTTTTTAACCTAAAGCATTTTCTTAGTAAATCATCCTCCAAGTTCTTAAACTACAAGACAGTCAAATAATCTAAAAGTCACTTTTTAAACCATATGTCTGCAAGTGTGTTTTCTCAAAAGGGTTTTCAAGTAATACTCCTTTTTTTTTTATTACCATACTACCACACTGATCTTTTAAAAAGTACTATTAATTTATTTAAAACTAAGGAAAAAAAACTATACTAAACACACTTTAAATCAATAATTCTTCAAAATCTAGACGCTGAAAATGTACTTTTAATTATCTAAAATCACAAAGGGAGATGATATGGCAAAGGTCTCTGATGGGTTGATGTTTATATTTTGTGAAGGACTGTAGGAAATTCTTGGTCGTCCGGACCAGCTCCTCCTCCTCCACCAGGATCAGCGTCCAATCCAAACAAAAACTCGGAGAAGAAGGAATCCGGCGGCGGCCACGGCGGAGTCAGCGGCATAGCCATGGCCGGAATAGCAATGGGAGTTCTTGCCGTACTTGCCATTGTTCTGGCCCTCTTCTCCAGAAGGCGATCGGCCCCTCCTTCATCCCATTATCTGGACGACGACGCCAGCACCCACCACAGATCCTTCACTCCACTCGCCTCTCAAGAACTCTCCAAAGACACAAAATCCGTCAACTCAGACGCTTCTCTGGACATCA